TTTTCAATCCGATATGCATATACGTGTATTTGGCTTTTTGACAATCTCGAGTGCAAGATGCAATGTAAAGACGCCCTGGCTTACATTAAATCTGAAACTCGCAACCTTCGGTCCTCAGGAGGCGCCAGAAATTCAGAGTCTTACGTCTTAATGGCCTTTCGAGCACACGGCTTTATGTATGCACCAAAAGCAAAGCTTTCGCACATCAAGTATAGGTCGTCTTTTTTGTTTGCTTCATTCAATCCGGTCGGCTGGGCGTTACGAACCACGTTCGGAGTCCTGGTGATTTATGTACATCTAAGCAACTCGGGGCCCTCAGTAACTGTGGTTATCGGTCTATAAAAGGCTGTCAAAAATGACTTTCAGTGTAATAACTTAAGACAAACGGTAGTTTTCAAATGTCGCTTTGGATTTAATAATAAGAAGTGGAACCCCTTTGCTAGTTTGAAATTGTACGCAATACTTTCGACCGAATTTGTTTGCTCAATTGCGTAATTGGTGTCTAAAGTGCAGGTGTGGCTCCTGTCTCTCACAAATGCGCGCCAGTTATTGCAACCATCTTTTTTACTCTCAGCAGTCAGTTCTGCTTCAGTGCTAGTACATTGGTAGCCTATTTTACTCTGATAATGCCCACACGACAAAAAAGTTCTAAAACACGAATGCTGTCGCTACTTTTGTCAGGAAGATTTTTGACCTCATTATCTTATCGTAGTATTTTCTTTTGGCTACCCTTGTGTTCAAAGTGGAGGGTCCCTTCCCAAAATAAGTTGCTCTGCATTGCCAGAGTGACTAGAGTTTGAATTCTGTATTTCTCCTGACCTCAAATACTTTGCTCTTCATTATTTTAGTTTCTATCACCTACTACCAATGGCACAGAATGACGATTCCCTTAAGTCTGAACCGAAGTCTGAGAATACTCATCTCTCATGCGTAAATTGTCTCGAGACTCCGATTTCGTCTTTCGACCTTCTCAATTATCGGTCGCCAGGTCGCGACCCCTCGGCCGTTTCTAGAGCGGCCGCATTGATTTTGCAGGCAGCCGTCGACAGCCAAAATCAGAGAAAGAAAAGAAGCCTAAGCAGTGTCAGTCCCCTTTCCAATCCTATTTTAAAGGTCCAGTGTCCTTCGCCCCCGGACGATAATGCGGCGGCGGCGGCTGCCGTCTCGATGATTTCGCGTCCCATGTCACATTCGCCAAATACGAACTCGAAGATAACGGCGGCTCTGGCCTTGGCCATGGTGGCATCCTCACCACCCTCTACTTGTCCTAGTTCTTCTTCCTCGGGTCAACTGGCAGAACAGTGCAGCAGCGAATTTCGCGGCGAAAATCCACCCCAGTCTATCGGCATGCTATTCCGTTCTCCCGTTGGTGGTTACGAATCTGTTGATGGTGGAGGCAACAGCGAATTCAACTTCCCGCCAACCAGTCTAAATTCAGGGAATATTTCATCTTTTACGTCCTTGAACAGCAACACAGTTCCCTCTGAGCTGTCTGCATCCGCGTGCTTAGCCAATGCCATGCTGCTGCCGGCTAGTTTAGTGACCGCCTTGGGACAAAGTGTAAGTAACTTTTATTAACTTTTTGAGATCATGACGTCATTACGGTTTTGAAACACTGCTCCGGAAATAGGTTTATTCGATTTTGTTAGGGCTTAACAATTTTTTTTACCGTTCTGACAGTCAATTAGCACAGATTTATAAACGCCATTTAGTCGGCCAAAAGCTTGGCCACTTTTAGCTTTGCCGAAGAGACAATGAAAATGGCCAAATCTAAGGTGGTCTGTCCATTTTACCCATATAAATGAAGCGGTCGCTTTAATTCTCCCCGAACATTTTAGAGAGTGAGGTACACGTTGGCCACTGGCTTTTTTGTGCAAAGCAACAAAATATTACATTGCTTGCAATATTGTCGACGATAGTAGAAGGGATCATTTCTATTGATCACAGAAACTCAATTATTTATGATACTGCTTTTTTCGCCGCGAAGTGAACTCTTCGACCTCATCGACCCGTTATATGACTTTGCTGTAGACGTCATTCGTTCCACATTCAATGTAGTATCTCCTTCAGTTTACCTATAATCTTTTTCCTGCTGGATGCTCTCGTCAGTTTCCATTTTCACCGTCTGTACTCGAGAATCCTTATTATAGACCGTATAATAGATCAACTTCTACCACATTCTGGCTTATTCTATAAGTTGTCAAGATTCAAGTCTGTATTGCTGGAAAATTAACGCACACCTTGTGTGGCTTTGCTTTGTACACAGCACACCAACAGTTTCACCATACTCTTTATCTATCAGAATCGCTTCGTTTTCTGAAGTGTTACAGTGGGTTGGCCCTCCACTTTTCGTACTTCAGCCTCTTTTACTCTTGCTAACACAGATGCACGCCGGCTCTTACCATCAGACATCTTCACCAGCCTACCTATCAACCATCGGGAATGTATCCTCTAATTTTTCACTGACTTCTAACTCTGATCCTGCAACCACATTCAGTGTCGCTATGTCGGCAGCGTCTCCTTCGAACGTAGATACCGGCCGATTCAGTTCAACCAGTCGGACTAGCTCAGTCACCCTGCATGAAGATGGTAGCAGAAAGCGTGAGCAACGGCTTCTCAAAAATAGGTACGTCTACTGCCTACTTTGCTATTTTTGGTTGTTTTTGTCCATTTTAAAGTCTTGTAATGGCATTCAGGCTGCGATGCTCGTGAAAACGGGTAAAAAAACGGATGGTTCATGAAATTGCTCAGGCTGCCGCCTTTATAATAATGCTACCGTCCCTGTCTTTGTCGGCTAGTTCAATCCGTCTTCTGTGGTTTGTAAGTGAAAATTCTTCATTCTTCTTATTCGCCGTTTATTCATGTAACAACTGGAGCGCTCGGTAGCGTTCGTCTTGCAAGATACATTACTTTGCCGGATCTTGGCAATCACTTAAGGAGGGCAGGATTTTGGTAGGCTTAAAATTGTTCAATTAATTGGAATGTTGCGCTCCAGTGCTTCTTTTTGAAGTAATTCACAGAAGGTAGATTATAAACAGTCGTTCTAGGAGACGAATATACGAAATGTCTGTTCTAGTTTACTATAAATATTTCCTTTTTCGTATCCCAAGACATACATATCTGATGCCAATGAAGGTCACCCGCTAAGTGCGTATAATCACTCTTGTTAGGCTGCCTACCGGAAGCTATTGACTGCGTAAGCGATTGGAAAAATTCTGTAATATCTAGTTTTTATGTGAGATTGGGATTCACTGACTTTGTTTAACGGAATAAAGTCGTTCCCACATGCTTTGGAACTTCGAAGATGGTAGAATGGAGCTTAAAAATCAAGGATTTAAAGAAGTTTACAGCCAGAGACAGAGGTTAGTTTGGTCCAGCCTAAGTCTCGGATCGAGGTCAGCGACTGTTTGTGGGCAGAAATCCCACTATTTACCACCGAACCATGGCCTCACACGTCAGTCTTTCGTCTATTAGGACCGCATATGCTTACCGAACTGACCTGGACTTGGAATTCGGTTTTAACGCCTCCAAAACGTCTAGTGCGACATTCCCAGCCCTCCCTTTTAATTTAGTCTGAAGACGAACACGTGATACTTGTTCGAAAATTCACGAGTACAACTCGATTTTCCGAAGATCTTCTTTTTTTTCATCATATCATCTCGGAATGCAACTTACTTCACTTATCCAGACAGTAATCTAACTTTCCTCAGTTTGATCATGAATATCTTTCGATTAACATCTGGTATTAGTGTCTTTCGTGGAACAATTTAAGTCTGTTTACATGTGAAATTAAATAAACATTGCCGGCAAAAACAACGGAGAGTGTAATGGCCATTTCTGGCCAATTATTCATCATCAGCTAGTCATAAGCAAACCCAGCTGGTGCACCACCCAAGGGGAGGAAATGGCGCTGGATGAATCTTTGGATATTCGGTAGAAGAACGCGTCTGCTTAACATTCAACGTTTCTGCCACTTTGGATTATTGTCGACGCAATCGTAAAGCGCTAACTCGGTAGGTCTAATGGCCATGTAGTATTTTTACTGATACAGTTGACGGAGAAAATGTCTTCAAGTCCAGCCGCAAGCTATCTAGCACTATCCGTTTTATTTCCAAATGTTCCGCCGAAATTAGCGTGTCGCAGACTAGACAAGTCAACCCCCCGTGAGTAAACAACTGAAGTCTGCAGCACTAATGCTGTCGCTTGTAGCTTTTTTCTCACCCCTTTAGTTAATAGACGACAGAATGTCGTCGTCGTGAATTGTTACGGTCTGGCATGCGTCATCTACTTCCAGTATTGTTACACTCTCTTCTATCGAACCACGCTCAAAGCATATTTTCAGTGGGTTTAACGCCACCTATTCAACGTCTTGTTTATTGTGGATTGGATTGATTCGTTATGTCGTGCACACTCAAGAACATCTTAGGCAAACAATTAATTATAGTAGTCTGCATGCTCAGCCTACCCCTCTGATTTGCCTGGTTTTTGAGTTATTTTGATCACAACAGTTTTTCCCTGCAAGTTTAACGAATGGTCGGAAAGGACAGGGACAGAAGTTGACCTCCCCCAAACCTATTTTACTGTTATTTCTTAAATGAAAAGTAAGCGCACTAATGAGACTAGAATAGAATCCGTGCAGAATGCAGGCTGCCATTTCAGTGGACGGGTAGGTTGTTAAATTATAATTCGAACTAATGTTAATCATCCAAAATGTAGCGGTAAGTTCGGTGTGAAGGCACCCCCCCCTTTCCCTGGCTTGCTGCATCCCTAGTGTTGCGTCAGGTTTTCCAACCCAGTCTACTGTTGTCTGAATGGTTTTACGCGCCTACTGCTATACGTTTCCGGCTCAGTGTCCAGTTTGAACCGCATCTGTAGGTGTGCACCCAGGAAAAATGCGACTTATAAGTGTCGTGCACAAGTGCGGGGAGCCGACTGAAACATGTCAACTCACGCAGTGTGTGAGGACATATGAAAACCAATAACTATTGATAGGAGCGAACAGGCGAACCCTAGGCAGCAGCTTAGAAGTATAAGAGGCAATCGCTGAAACAAGAAGTTTATTTATCTGGGGTTTCGGACTCCCGCTTGAATCCATCCTCAGGGGACAACCGCAGGTAAGGGTGATAAAGGCACAGGGCGTGCAGTATTCACAGTTCGTAGTGGCCACTCGACGACATGCATACTGCAGTTGGCAGTTCGGCGATGATCGCGAGAGCTACTAATTGTAGTACACGTATGTGGTTGCGTGGCCACTACGGACTGTAAATATTGCGCATCTTGTGCCTCCACCGTCCTTGCCTTTTTATTGTCTGTGATGATGGGCTCGAGCGGGAATCCGAAACCTCTGGCCAGGAAACGTCTTGGTCCAGCGATCGCATCTTCTTCCCACTAATAACTGTTTGCTGTTTAATGACTTCCAGTAGTTTGGATGCGTTTAGACAAAGTGCCTTAAATGCTTCTGACAACTTGCTCGTCGCAAGTGATGAGGATCGCCACTGCCTTGAGGGTGAATAGGTGATTTGTGCAGTGTCGACCTTGCTCTCGTAGTACATACCGCTTCTCCAACAGGCAAGTGTGTAGGCGGTTGAAATCACTGACAGTAGCTTCAGTCATTGAAACAAAAGATTCTTTGCTTGCTTGCTTCTGATCGCAGGACACCTTCGGGATGACTGCAAGAAGATAGTGACGCTGTTGCTCAACATATGTGTATGTGGTAAAACAGCTCCCACCAATCGCGTTACGGGACACTTCTGTCCTGTGGAGCTCAACATTGGGCCCCACCAAAGCCGTTCAGCGGGCATTACCGACAAAAAACAAGAGGGATTAGAATAGCTATTTCTGGCCTCAGAGGTTGCATATCTTGTAATTAGTCCCAAGGCAGAACGGGACAAATGCATCTCGTAACCGATCGGTGAGTGCCAATCCACAAATGTTAATATTCCCGATCAAAACCGGCCAGACAACGAGCCCCTAGTTCGATGAATTAGAGAGTTGTATTTCTACCCAACAGGTCGTGAATTCGAGCCTCGGGTGATGGACCACCTGAAGTTGGGTATGACTGGCTGACGATAGTAAATAGGCCAGAAATGACCAATCCAGTCTCCTGTGTTTTTCTCGATGATGTCAAATACCTGTGTGAGTGGATCTCATTTTGGTATATGGAAGCGTGGCAGCAGATGACTTGCGAAGATCGCCTGTCAGCTAATTGTTATAGACGAGAGTGTCGCTGTACTTAGTTTATCAGGAAATTCAGTTAATGAAAAAGGGTTAAAAATGAATCCTCCCCTTTCAAGCAGTAAGGCCTGTCACTATTCCATACAGGGTCCTGCGTTAACTGTCATTTCCCATCGCTTTCGTCCACAGTCAAGACGACTGTAGACATGTGTGAGCCCGGTGGCTAAGGAAACCCAAAGCGACTGTTTAAAACCTCGAATTTTGCCTATTAAGGCTTCTTAAGGAAACTGGTATGCCACTAAGCAGAGACACCCCGTGACGTATCCTCCAGGCTATGTTTCAACGCGTTGAGTACATTATACATGGCTCAGAGGAGACGCCAGTATTTGACCACTTCATTGGCATGGGTTATTTTCCAGTGTCGGTCCTTTTCGCCCGTGTGAAACTAACTGAGTCAGAACGGTTGGATATTTATACCGCTCACATTGCAAGTTCTAGCTGCAATCCTTTCAGTAATTTATTTGCAATGTGTTGGAAGGGGTTTATCCCCTCTCTCTCTCCCCCCCAAAGACTGAAGTATTTCGCTAGAGTGGGCTTATACATGTCTGAAAACCTTTCCATGCGTGTAAACCTTAGTTGTCGATGTCCGTGCACATGCGTGCGCAAGCCTGGATACATCAGAATCTTGCTATCCAGTGCATCCATAGGTCGCAATCTTATGGTTGCAAAATTTGGCACAGCTCTTCTCTGTCGTATACGTGCGTCAAAGTACGGACCAATAAAATGTCCTGCTTAATGTCAAACTGGTTGATCCCGCGCACTTTTGTTTGCTCGTGCATCGAAACGTGATGTCAGGGAACTTGTTTGTTCACGCTGTCACCAATCGCCGTCCCGTGACGCTAGGCATTAACGCGAACCACTTCCGAATATTCGTATTCGCGCACACCCCCTTATTTATGCATTTTCACCTACAGCTTGAAAGGAGGTCAATCTTAAGTCCCTCGTCAGATCTTTTGTAATTCTATAATTCCTTCAATTTTGTGTTTATTTACTTAGCAGTCTTTTGCTTTCGAAGTCGTATACATCAACTATCACTGTTTCTTTCTGTCTGCACTGTTGGTGCAATTTTGTTACCCGTAGTAGACCCTTTTGAGAAGATGACGACTCGATCGCTAAGACAATACCTTTATTAGCCTGAAGTTTCGAGATCCGTCGCGGATTCGTCATCAGCGACATTATCAGAGAGCAGTAGCAGATAGACCCTTTTATTTACTTCTGATGTCGTCGCAATTGCCAGTCTGAAGACAACACTTATGGTGACGATAAAAACCCAGTTCCATTCGTTTACTTTAATGAAACGCTGCTGGGACCAATGAAGCGCTTTTTCTTATGCGTTTTAAATAATTGCAGAAACCGGAAGAACAATTGGCGAACTTACATAGGCTTTCGATAAATTCTCATTACGTAACCAGCCGCTTCTTATGGACCCCCAATCCTTTCCTCCTCCCCTACTCCCTCGACTGACTTGTATGATAAGACGATCATTATCGATCGCTTGTTTAACCTTTTACCCCGTTCCCATGTAAATGTAATGGCCCGATGAGACTTTATTGGAAGCCTACGTACACTCGCCAACTGCTCCCCTGAATTCTCCAATAGGAATTCTTGCAACTTTAAAACAGTTACAGAAACGATTTTGCAGTGCTGCGCTGTGCTGTGGGAACCTATCTATCTCAGTCGATATCAAAAATCATTAACTTCTTGAAAAACATTAATTGAAAAGATCATGCTGCTTTAGCGGTCATTTTTAGTCAGTGTACTTTTTCCAGTCGGTCGCACACGCTGATATGACTGAAATATTTGGAGATTATGCAACGTGCTGTTTGATATCACAACTCAGCTGAAATAATAATTTCCCTTCGAAATAACATTCCATAATTTCGCTTAAAACACACACACACACAAATATATATATATATATATATATATATATATATATAT